GGATTAGGTTCCTTGTGCTGTTCTTGAAGATGATATTAATAACACCATTGGGTGCTAGCTTCAGGTTGCCCCTCAAATACATCTCAGGTTTCAATGGATGGTAGACATACATTGCAGGAGGAGAGTCACTTCGGTTGTGAGAATATCACCTAAGGTAGTTTTGTCACACTTACAAATATTTCTCCTCTCAGAATTCAATGTCTCTGCTATTACCTTTTGGTTGCTTTTAGAGTGGCAGTTTTGTAACATTGCCTGGTCGACCTTAAGAAATACTAAAAATTCAGGTCCAAGGGTGTACTATGATGATGATGATGTCCCTGTGGAGATTTTGTATTCAAGTGAGGAATCTGAGGAGGATGACTGGGAGAAAGAGGGGAGGAGAAAGAGGTTAAGGAATGCTAAAGTGAGAGGTTCTGCAGCGAAGAAGCAGCAAAGTGAGAAGGTTAGGATTAGGAAGGGGAATAATTCGGATGGTTGTAATGATTTTGGTGGTGTCTACAGCTCCAGAGGGGCCACAAGTTGCAGAGTCTAGCAGAAGGGGGTTGGGAATGCAAGGAGGCAAATGAGGAATGGAGCAAAGGATTTGGGGAAGTTGGATTTAAATGTGGGGTTCAGTAGTGAGGTGGAAGAGCCAGCCATAGGGTGGAGGGAAGGGAATGGGGCTGGATATGGAGAGGAGGATAATATTGAAGGAAATGGGTATTTTGAGGGTCTTGACGAGTTTTTGAGTAGCTTACCTATACTTTCTGTTGTTGGAGAGGATATGGTTAAACTACTTAGTAAAGTAAGAACCTGGTGATTGTTTTGTGCTGCTTTCTTGCAGTTTTGGTCGTAACTGTATGTCTTAGCATTGAATCTTGATTCTGCTGGATATTTGCAGCATTTTTGTTTAGTTATCATTATTATCATTTCTTGTGGTGTTTCTTCTTTTTCCTTTGAAATGAAGGATAGTGTAGGAGAAGAGAAGGTGCAGTGAATGAATAACCAACGCCCATTCCTGAACTGATGTTTTAAGTTCTGAGTTCATTGCCTAGCTAATGGGTATATTGATGGTTAAAATTTCATTTTAGTTCTTCTATTCTAATAAAAAATCTCTTTTTAGTTCTTTGATTTAAGAAAGTCTTTTTGTAATTCTTAAAGTTTATTATTTG